TTGTACGTTCAACCTGCAGAACATGAAAATCTCAGTCAAGCATGCAAGAGTTGGAAGGAAAATTTCCATAAATTTTTTTCCTTCAATATGTAGTTATTTTAACAGGTTTCTTGCTCTCTGTGATTGCTGGGTGGAATTCAATCATACAAGAAGGTTTCATTCTACCTGGTGAAGAATACCCACAAGCTATTCTTAAGGCGAGTTATGGTATTACACAGGAAAACTTGCATTACACCGAAAAAGGACTAGAAATGTCGCATGAATATAATTAACATTAGAAGGTAATATATTTATTTAAAACAAAGCCTTAAAAGCACAGGGGTCAATACGTCTATCACAAAATAAAACATGTAGATTTGCACACCACCTGCAGAGACTAACCAATTTAAATTTTTTAAGAGGGCTCAGCATTGATATATCATCAAGAGTGTAGATAAAAGCCACAAGATAGAGAAAAGCATCAAAATATGACATTCATGGAAGAAAAAGAAGTACTGACCTTTGTATCAATATCTCGATCAAGGAGGTCATTTATGGTACACCCAGCACCCCTCAAAAGCAAAGCCCCACATCCAAATAGAGTCAGCATTTTAAAATCAGGTAAATGGCCTGGAGATGCCGCCAAGGTAATTGACCTAAAGAATACAATTTTACTCTAGTTATGAATTTCGGAAAATATGCACTCCCTAAAATATATGATCCAGTCAAGAGTGCAAATGAGAGGGTAATAAAAATAAACCAGTGATAGACACTTGTCTATTTTAAGTTGTAACAGGAAACACATCCCGACTAGAACACATGATTTCATAAAAATCCCTAGTTACTTCACAAACAATCAAGTTTGAAATAATACACATGATATGAAGAACATGGAGATTATTTTAATAAATGACTATGGAGATTTTAACTAAATTATGCACGCCTCAACTAACCTCTCATTAATACCAGACTTAGGATCAAATATGAAACGTATCACTCCTTATCTTGATGATTATCACGACTTTAACCACTTTACATTGTTTTGTATCACGTCCTTTTTACAACTAGACAAGTAATAGTGATTGGTATGATACAAATATTACTAATTCCACAACCCAGCCGAATATTGAATATAAGAATTAATACCGCTGGTCAATTAACAATTATATAAAACATCCAAAAGTTTCTTATATACCATGACATTCACAAATACTCCAACAGAGACCAAAAATCAAAAGTAGCTCTTACCACATACAAGGCAAAGCAAGTAACCACATCCCAATGGGTTTATCTAGCCGCGCTAGGTGAGCATAGGGCTGAGCCTTTTTGGGCAAATACAAAGAAATCCAGGACATCTCAACTTTCCCTTGAGTTTTTCCGTCATTTGTAACACTACCATGCGGGTTGGAACTGTCCTTTAAATTCAAAGACGTAGATAAACCACGTATGAATCCGAATCTAAAATCACGAATTAAATTTTCGCGAGCAAAATCCAATTGAGTACACCATAAATTGGAAACTAAACTAGCTCTGGAGTAAGAAATTGGCGCGTCGAGATTGGAGAAGAGGTTGAGGAATTCACGATGAAGAAAGAGAGAGGACAGAGACCTGAGCGAAGTACGGGATAGCAAAGACGCCATTCCCTATCCATAAACAAGCAAATAGAACATATTTATTTTTTTCTTTTTTTTGTAGAGAAACAATTTCATCATGCTATAAGAGTAAAAGAGAGGAGAAGCTTTAAATCAAGATATAGCAAGAAATATGATATTGTCAAAGAGTCCAGTGAAAATGAATTCTTTTTCTGTGAAGAGTCTATGGTTTCTTTCATTCCAAAATGTCCAAAAAAAGCTTGAAGGATGTGTTTCCAGATGATTTTTTTTTTTTTTTTTGATAATAAACAAAGAGATTTCATTCAAAAAGAAGGAGTCCAAAGAAAAGGCAAGAAATACAGCCTAGAGGAAGAGGATCGAGAGGACCCTCTCCAAAGAGACTAAGCAATCAAGGAATTCCAACTCTAAAGAGTCAAAAGAAAGTGTTTCCAGATGATCGCATTCTCTTTCTTGAAAGGATGGCCCACAATAACATATGTGAGTAAAAAATGACCCACAAGAACATATGTGAGTAGCTCCTTGATATTGTAGGTAGACCCACTTTCCAATCGAAAGCTAGAAGAATCTCGTTCCAAAACAGCATTGCAAGGGGGCATGTGAGGAAGAGGTGAGGCTGTGACTCTCTATCTCTTTTACAAAGTATGCACCAATGGGGGAGAAATGGCAATAAAGGGGAGCTTTAATCTATCGTGGGAGTTGATGGCCTTGTGAGTAAGTTCCCATATGAAGAATTTAATCTTTTTTTGGGTAGATTTCACCCCATATAGCTTTAGCAAGAAGGGAAGGGATGAGGTATTCCTTTGAGACCATGTCAGTGAGGAAAGACTTGGTGGAGTAGAACCCCTTGCTGTCTAGAGGCCAAAACCATGCAGCCAAACTTGAGATGTCTAAACCCAAGTCCCAAAAGCCAAGTTCATTGTTCCATAATTCCTTCACAGATGCTGTTTTTTTAACGGAACAGAGTAAAGTTGAGGGAAGATTGTTGCCAAGGGGGAACCATGCAGCCAAGCATCAGACCAAAAAGATGTAGAAGCCCCATTTCTAACTTGTGATTTGTGAAGTTGTACGATCATGGATGAGATGCCGGTGCTTATAAATATTCTTCCATGGGCCACGTGCATATTTTATGGATTTGGAACCAGGTTTGGTATTAAAGGATTTAGAAGTATATTTGGCCTTAATAACTCATCTCCAAAGAGCTGATTTTTTCCCACAATATCACCAAATCCATTTTACAAGTAAAGATCTATTGTTCTCGCATCCCATGAAGACCGAGACCACCTGTTAGACCCCCAATTGTGAAAACTTATAGTAGGAAGGGTAAAGAAGTAATTGAAGAGCGGTTGGGCCATAACGGCCAAGAGAGAGAAGGTACTAGCTATGAGTAGGGAGAGCGAGAAGGCCTATAAGGGGAGGGCATGTTGTTAGGAGAGGATCATTCTGGTTTTCTGTGCTTTTGCTAGCTTAGTAGCTGTTTTAGGAGAGATTCCCCACCCTTTCGAATTGGTGGGTTGGCTTTTGTATTGCCTTCGGGCCTTATCTTTTGAATAAAGAAATCTTGTGGGGAGAAACCTCACAACTTGGTATTAGAGCGATTTCAACTTGGGGAAACACCGAAACATGACGCAGAAGGAGTTGGAGAAGCGGTGTGAGGCTACCGAGAAGGATGTTGCTGGATTGAAAGATACGATTTCAGAGCTCAATTAGAAATCTGATGAGTAGCAGAAGAAGACGGATAAGTTGCAGCAGACCTTGGAGGTGTTCATAATGGAAGTCACCGGGGGAAATCGAATGTTGTTGTCGTCCTCATCGATCGTCGGTGAGTTATCAATACAGAAGGGAAAGGCTCCGATGGGAGAAACACCTGAAAACTATCCTGGCAACCAAGGGAACGATTGGAATCGTTTCAAGAAGGTGGAGACGCCGATCTTCACGGGAACTGATTTGAAGTCGTGGATCTTCCGCGCTGAACGGTATTATGAGATTCAGAAACTGACAGAGGAAGAGAAGATAGTAGCCATGATCAGTTTCGACGGAATCGCCTTGGCGTGGTACCAGTATAAGGACAACCGGGAGAAGTACAAGGACTGGAACGACCTCCAAAGTCGACTGCGGGACCGATTTCACAGGCAATGTGCCCGATTACTTTCGATCAAACAGGAGGGAACCTTCGCCGAATATCGGCAGACGTTTGAGGCGCTGGCGGCGGCCCTACCGCAACTTTCCGATGAAGTTCTAGAGAGCGAATTTCTGAATGGGCTCAATTTTGTAGTCTGCGCCGAAGTCCTTGCAATGGAGCCCAAGGGACTATACCGGATCATTAGGAAGGCCCAGCTTCATAGATGATATCAATACCGCAATACAAAAAGCGGAGGGACAGATGGGGGTAGAGAAGCCCAACTCAGGTCCATCTTCAAGCAAAACCGCTTCAAAAACCCAAGAGGTAATACCTACTCGTACTGTTACCCTTTCGAAAAAAGCCCCCATGTCTGTGCAGGGATCTGAAACGTCACAGGCTACTAAGAAGGAGACGCCCTTTAAGAAGTTAACGAAGGCAGAATACTAGAAGAGGAAGGCGCGGGGACTGTGTTTTCGCTGTGAAGAAAAGTATACCGTCAACCATAAGTGCAGAAATCGTGAGCTCCAAGTGTTTCTAGTCCACGACGACGAGCTATTAGAAGTGGAGGAAGAAAACATGCATGATGCGGAGATCGAGGCTAGGGCTGACAACGATGGGAAAATGGTTGAGTGTCAACTGAACACAATCGTCGGAATCTCAACACCGGGAACCATCAAGGTGAAAGGGTCGATACAGGGAAGAGATGTTGGGTTCTGATCGACTGTGGAGCAACCCACAACTTCATCTCGCTGACCCTAGCGGATGAGTTAAAGTTGCCGAAAACAGAGACAGTGAACTACGGAGTGATCATGGGTTCTGGAACCACTGTCAAAGGGAATGGGATTTGTTGAGGAGTCGTTCTCTCCTTACCGGAACTCACAATGAAGGATGACTTCCTTCTGCTGGACCTAGGGACACTAGATGTCATATTGGGGATGCAATGGCTCCAAACGATGGGCAAGATGGAGGCTGACTGGCCAGTTTTGATGCTGAAATTTGATAAAGGGGGAAAGCAAATCATGATAAGAGGCAACCCCATCCTGGCTCGTTTGGAAGTATCAATGAAGCATCCAGCCAAACAGTGGGAGGCCCAGGCCCAAGGTTATTTGGTCGAGTTGCAGACTCTAAATACACAGATGGAGGAAGCCGAAGTCATTCCTGATAGCCCTTTGCCCTTAGTGGAAAATATGATTCATGAATACTTGGACCTGTTTCAGAAACCTGAAGAACTGCCCCCGAACAGAGCTGTCGATCACCGGATCCCATTGAAGGAAGGCCAACCGCCAGTGAACGTACGGCCATACTGATATGCACATGCCTAGAAAGGGGAAATTGAGAGTTTAATAAACGAGATGTTGGAGGCTAGGATCATCAAGCCAAGTGTAAGTCCCTTTTCAAGTCCAGTGATCTTAGTTAAAAAAGAGGATGGTAGCTGACGATTTTGTGTTGACTATAGGGCTCTCAATAACATCACGGTCCCAGATAAGTTTCCCATACCAGTGGTGGAGGAACTACTTGATGAATTGCACGGATCTAGGGTGTATTCGAAGATTGACTTGAGATCGAGCTACCATCAAATCCGTATGGCAGTAGAGGATACCCACAAAACAACCTTCAGGACTCGTGAACACTATGAGTTCTTGGTGATGCCCTTCGGTTTGACCAATGCCCCGTCAACCTTTCAGGTGCTAAAGAATAATGTATTTCGTCCATTCCTACAAAGGTGCGTGCTCATCTTCTTTGATGATATTCTGATATATAGCCTTAATCTTCAATCTCACTTGACTCATTTGGCCATGGTGTTCAATATGCTGAGGGACAATAAGATGTTTGTGAACCTAAAGAAGTGCCACTTCGTCGTAGAATGCATAGAATACTTGGGCTATTGGGTGTCGGCTAAGGGTTTGGAAGCAGACTCATCCAAGATAGCAGCCATGATTCAATGGCCAGTGTAAAAGAGCTTCAAGGCTTTCTGGGGTTGACGGGCTATTATCGGAAGTTTGTAGCCAATTATGGCACTATAGCTGCTCATCTAACACAGTTTCTCAAGAAGGATGGCTTCCAATGGACTGAGCAGACCACAGAGGCCTTTGAAAAGCTAAAAATGGCAATGGAGACATTACCCATTTTGGCGCTACCAGATTTCACCATCCCTTTCATGATTGAAATGGATGCATCAGACACTGGCTTAGGGGCCGTCCTCACCCAGAACCAGCAGCCCATCGCCCATCGCCTACTCCACGGATTCCCTTGATCCATCATCTCCAACAGAGATAAAGTCTTTATCAGCCATTTTTGAATTGAGTTATTCAAGTTGCAGGGCACTACTCCGAAACAAAGTACCACGTACCATCCACAAACGGATGGGCAATCAAAGATCGTCAATCGATGCTTGGAAACATACCTCAGGTGTTTTAACAGTGAGAAGCCCAAACAATGGGGTCACTGGCTACCGTGGGCAGAATACTGGTATAACACCACCTACCACAACTCTCTTGGCTCAACCCCTTTCCAGGCAGTGTACGGACGGGCCCCTCCACCATTGATCCTTTATGGGAGCCAAAGGACCATGAATGCCACCTTCGACCAACAGCCGACAGAGAGGTACTTGGCCTTAGAATGACTGAAGGAACATTAGAAGCTACTAGCTATGAGTAGGGTGAGCGAGTAGGCCTATAAGGGGAGGAAATGTTGTAAGGAGAGGATCATTCTGGTTTTCTGTGCTTTTGCTAGCTTAGTAGCTGTTTTGGGAGAGATTCCCCACCTCTCGAATTGGTGGGTTGGCTTTTGTATTGCCTTCGGGCCTTATCTTTTGAGTAAAGAAATCTTGTGGGGAGATACCTCACACTACCTTGCTCCATGGGCAGGAGAAGTTTATCCCATTTGACGAGGTGCAATGATGAAGACTCAGAGCTGCCCCTCCAAAGGTGATTCCTGAAAAGCTTCTCGATTGCTAAAGCCATTACAAGAATGCTGAGTATTTTCAAAGGTTACAACCTTTGAAAAAACATGAAATAGATCCCGAAGAATATAGAATGTTGAGTATTTTCAAATGAACTTTGATAAATGTTTTTTCGAAAGTTAACTCAACCTTCAAAAAGTGTCAAAATAGATCCCATCGAAAAAACTTTTTCAAAGGTTTTAGTTAACCTTCAAAAATTGATATTTATCAAAGATTCAATTAACCTTCAAAAATTAATATTTTTCAAAGGTTACAAATCTTTGATAATTGTCAAATTAGTGGACAATAATTAATTGTTTTCAAATACCTTTTTGGAAGGTTTTTATTATTTTTCAAAGGTTGTAATGCTATTTTCAACAATTTTTAAACCTTCAAAAATAATTATTTTGACATTTGTAAATCCTTTGAAAAAATTCAAGTAGAAATCAATAACTAAATGGCTGGAAATAGAGATTTTCCTTCTCATTTTCAGTACTCCACAAGGTTAAGAAACAAGAGGAAGAAAAAAAGAGCTAAAATAGGGAAATTTTGGAGGAACAGTGACTTAATTTCTTATTACTATCACCCAATACTTCAATAAAGCTTGCTCAAGATGCAAAAATTAACCGAATAATATAGAAAGAGAAAAATCAACCACAGAAGATAAAACGAGAAAAATGAATCAATAACGCAAAAAACAAAATGACTACCAATCAATAAAACAATGTCTCCAACAATTAACAAGTAAACCATCATGGTTTTTCCATAACTAATTCAAAACATACAAATACGTCCTGAGAACAAACAAAAAGTCACATTTCTTGATATTATACTTGAATTTTCTAATCATACTTTAATACTTTTTACACATCATCTCAACCATCATTGTTTGAAATCTATGCTCTAAACTCCATATCCGACACTTTGAGCTATAAATAAGAGAAACAATTATGAGTCAATTTTCATATGTCAGCAAAAATTAGCATATGTACAAAATGGGTGAGAGTGTTAGTAAATGTTTGTAACATGTGCAGTGACTAAAACATCTCAATTATCGAATTGAAATGTCAATACATCCCTCAAACTTTACCCTAGATCGATAGATAGAAATATAAGCACCCGGAGTTTGAACTCATAGCTCCAAAATCATTACCTTTCTAACTCCTTTTTTACTAGAGGTCACCTATAATAGTTGGTATCTAAACCAGTAGCAACCTAGCATCTCTTATCAAAATCTTACTATTTCTACAAAAGTGAAACATCTAGAAACCAAATGAGTGAATATAAAATATAGCATAGCATGTGGTACTCTACTCTCTAACACAAACCACTACTTGAGAACCGTGAGAAATGACAAGATCAAAAGAAACTTGCCACTAATGCATTCTTTATCTGAACTGGATCCGACAAAAATCGAAATGCAATAACTACTACTTTCAACATATAAACTTGTAAATCATTAAAATTTAGCAAAAATTACAACAACAAAAAAACAAAAAACAAAAACAAAAAAATTTGAGTGCAAAAATAAGAGTAAATGACGTACATAGTAAACAAAATAGGCAAAAGAAAAGTTCAAATTGTATCTCAAAGTGTTATTACATGATCTACACTAAGAAACATCCAAATTCATGTGCCTTGCAGACAAAATTTTTCACCTGTCACATCGCAATAAATTAGATGTATGTTGTAGTGTTAAACCTTCACATTGTCTCATTCCATCCATCAAGAGAATAAACTAGAAAATTTAGTTTCCTACCACCCTATATAACCTTCACTATGGAATTCCACTACACGATTGTGTTATTGGGAAAAAAACAACAAATAAATGGTAAGAATTTGGTACTTAACAATTAACTGAGATGCAAGAAAAGTACCTGGTCAACGGTAATTTGGACAACCAACCTTCACATTACTTCTTAGTTCTCTTTTACTTGATCGGACCTGGCACAAATAGAGTAAATAGAGTGCATATCTTAAGTATCTTTCAGTTTAAACCTTCTTTAAAACTCCACCATCAGATAATTGTCTTTCAAAATTCAGGTTTAGCAGTCAATCTTTCTTGCAGGAAGGATCATCTTACAAGTAAATTGAGTATAACTTGTCCTGGTCCATGAAGCCATAATTTTTAAACTACTATGCATAGGAACTATAAAAAGTAAGCATTAAGTGGTCCCTGCATCATGAACACCCATTCCTCAAAAAAAATGTACAAGGGAAAATTATTGTTTGTTCAAGATTCAATTCAAAGATATCCATTCATTTAAGTTATGTAGAAATGAGTCTGAGTACTAAATATCATAGAAGAGCATCTCAGTCGAACTGCAACAGCTGCAATTGGGTTTGTTATTCTCTCGATAGCCTCTAAACCTTCTCTAGAAAGCCAAAGTTTTGTGTGGCTAGGATCAGGTTCCACGATAGCTTCTTTATAATTGAAATGAGTAGGAAAAGAACCATTTGAGAATAAGTCAAATCTCATATATTGAAACAGTAAGTGGAACCATGAAGTTTAAGCATCATTAGATTGCATAATCTCTAGATACTAGCTCAGAATTGATTTAAATAGTACATAGAACATGTCACAATCAAATATAAAGAAGTTAAAAGTACTAAGTTAACAGAAAAAACCTCAAAAGCATTGCATTCACGCTTGTCTATCATGTTTATTGGATCATCACCATCCGGAGAGCGGCATTAAATGTTTCCTTTTTCTGGTTCCTTCTATAAAATTAGCTTATGTTGAATGAATAGATACTCCCAACATTACCTGAAACTAAAAGTCGAATGAAGTGGTGCAGGTAAATCAAAAACCGATTTAAGTGAATCGCGTTCATGATTACCTCTAGACACTGATGTAGAATAGTTGAGCTCATCGATACTGATGCAAGGAAAACATTACAGTCAATATTAAGTTCAATCTCGACTGTTTAAACATTATGATGAAGGAATGGACATTTGCACAATCCTTAGCGTCAATCTCGACCTCATATACCCAGAGATCCATACGAAACTGAAATTTACGAACCAGAGCGTAATCAAAGAAAATGCAGAAGAAGAACACACAATTAAAGGATATTCGAAATTCTCAATCGAATGACGACTTCGATAAGGAGGATTTTGAAGCTTTGGTGCTGCTGTAATCTATAAACCGTGAATTTTGCGCACCTGAGAGAGTAAGTTGGAAGGGATAATCAGCGAGAAGAGGGGACGATCGACGAGCGGCGGCGGCTTGACGA